GCAGTCGAAAGTTCAATTCTTTTTGGCATTTATTCCCAAACCAAAAAATCACTTCAGGTTTTTCTCTGTCATAGAGTGATTGAATATGCTGTTCATTGATTTTTTTCAACACCGAAACAAGTTGTTGCAGGCTATAACCTCATTAGTTGATGTTGCATATATTTTTACTTACAAAAGTTAATTTTAATCCCTGGTTARTTAAACACTTGTACTATGTCTTGTTTGTGARGGGAGAAYTGAATAGCAGTAAGCCACAACTTCAGTTTATCATTCCTTCAGCAGCTTATGGCGGAGCTATAATCAGCTTAGGTGAATTGCTGCCCTCCTGTATTTCAATTGTCTGTTGGCCATATCTCTGCATCTGACACTGAGATCTTCCAGTGTAGGATGCAAGTTCAAGGGACTGATTCGCTTGTTGGAAAATGTGACAAATACAGTAGTCCTCTTGATTGTGCTGTTAAAACAATTAAGAGTGAGGGGGTAAGATAATATCTCTGTTTACTTTGAAACATGGAGAATGATGTGATTGGTACTTATTGTCATCTATATTCTCAGCTTAAGGGTATATTTCGTGGAGGTACTGCAACTTTATTGAGAGGATCTGTTGGAAATGCGATCTTCTTCAGCACTTATGAGTATACACGTTACTACATGTACATGCAAGTGAATTCTGCTTCATCTGTCTATAGCTATCTGCCAAATATATTGATTGATGCAGGGATTGGTACAATCACTGGTGGGCTTGGTGGTGTTGCAGTAAGTAYTTGACAACTTAATGCATATAAGAATCATATGAGACTGGATTTCACAATATTTGGTCTTCTTGACAGTACTGGTCCGTGGTTCTACCCTTTGATGTGGCAAAGACTGTTATTCATACTGCACCCGATTCAACTTCTAGTAGAAATCCATTTCGCATACTGAGCTCGGTAATATGTAGTTCTTTTCCTCCCCCTGGAATCCTGGATGTTCAAACCACCTTATGGCACATTCTTATCAGGGCTGTTTCTATAGATATACAGGATGAAGGGAATTAAAGGATGCTACACTGGCATTGGTCCCACATTAGCAAGAGCATTTCCTGCAAATGCTGCTGCAATTGTTGCATTGGAGCTCACTGCCAAACTTTTAGGGATTAGGCTCGATTGAAGGCTTATTTGATGATAGTGACTTCCATTATGCTCCTGTCCTCATCCTAATAGCAAACGTGCACTTCTCCAATGGAAAATCATTCAAGTGGCTTGGCAATTTTGTTTTCATGAGTTTTGTTCTTGTTTGATGCAATATTTAGGTACTGTGTTGAACTACCATGAATTTGTTCATGTTTTATTAGATATAATTCATAAATCATAATTGTTAGTGAGGATGATTTGATTTTAAAGATGTCATAAGAGGGAAGTTCTTATGACAGAACCGGTTTAATTTAATTACATGAATTCCCAATGTGTGTATATGTTGAAAATATATAATTAGTGGATGTTTTTGAGGCTTTTTTAACAGGGGCAGAATTAGAAATTTTGGCTGATTCCGATTCCAGCTTCTAATTGAACCAAACAGCAGGAATTAGAATCCAATTCCGATTCCTGACTTAAATGTCAGGAATAGACCATTCCGATTCTGATTCCGGAGGATTCCGATTCTGGCCGTGAACCAAAGGGACCCTAAGATTTTTCATTCAAGGTTTGGGCTGTGAAAAAGCAAAATTGAGGCAAAATGTAAACCAGAACAATGTAAAAGCCAAAACACACACTTATCCAATGTCCAATCCATTGACAAGGTGGGTGAGCTTTTAGGAAAGAGAAGAATGGCAGCTGGTAGTCTGGAAGGTGGTATTCAGCACAGTAGCCACGAGAGACGAATGTAGTTTCGTGGGCAACACTAGTGGGATGATTAGAAGAATTAATTCGGCTACCTCACTAATAAAGATTGTATCAACAAGACTCAAGCTTGTGATACACATTTTACACTATAAATCGAAAATGCAAATTAAGGTCTATATATTGAAGATTATACAGCTCTCGCAAAATTACTGAAACTCTCATTCTCATAAACAATCTGTATTTTGGAGTAGTTGTTCAAAGCTTCGGAATAATTTGTTCAGTCTGGACCACACCACTATGACAATATATGGTTCCTTTGAAGTTTAGTTCCCTGTTCTGAATGTAAAGTTAAGTAATAAATAACAACCCTTGCTGTACTTCTTCATTCTGCACCTCAAAAATTATAGTGGTAGCGATCGATGACAAACTCGATAGATGAGAGTTTCTCTTTCCAAACTGAGCCTTAATGATTTGTTTTATATATACTTGTTTTCTAGTCTAGTAAAATGATGACCAATGTTTTATTTTACAACGATTGGTTGTTCTCCATAGAGATCTGGATCCAACTTTCATTTGTGATGAGCATTTATTTGTCTTGATCCGACGACCTACAGTCAACCATATCCCAACCATATGGATATATGTAGGGAAATTCCAAATTCCAATTTTACTGCTCATTCATTTGTCTGGGAAATAATGGTATATAGACTAGAAAAAGTAAAGAGTTAACTCTCGGGTGAATTTACTCAAAGTCTTTCGCAAGTCTTCTTTTTTTTTTTTTTTTGCAAAAGCGATATTAATATTGCTTTCAGTTCCCCTGCCTAAACGGTAAAGCCAGATAAATTAAATGCTTATTCCTGGCCCTATGAATTCATCCCCTACCTCTATAAATAGCAGTATAGCAGCAGCAATTGTTACACAAGTGCAAGCCAATCATGGCCATTCTTCATACTTGTTTCCTTAGAGCTCTCCTATGCTCTCCTCTTCCTTTGCTTATCTTCTTCAGTTGGTATAATGTTGAGGCCTATGGAGGAGCAATAAATTGTTCATCGCCCCTTAAAGGTAAATATGGAATTTTCGTTGTTGTTGCTTAGAGGAAATTAGACTGCATATTTGTGCTAGTGCACTTCTGTTCTCCATCTAAGTGTCTGTTTGGGAGGGTCCTGCAGCAGTTTCTAGCATTGCAAAGTAAGTTTCACATGGAAAGCCATGAAGTTATATTTGGTGAAAACCATTGAAAGCTAAAAAATAAAATTACTGTTGTTGAGTTGAAAAATCAACTTTCTGATGAAATTAATTTTAGTAGCTTTTCTAAAGCTATTCAACCAAAGCTGAAGCCCTCCCAAATGGGTTCTAAAATATGTCTCACACAGCTGTAGAACACCCATCAAATTCAGCCAATAAACATGTGGAGGAGAGCTGAAGTGATCATTCCAAAAGGCAACCTCTCTTAATATGCATTTTTTATTACTAGTAATTGTGCACGTGGCAATTTTTCATGACGACGATAATAATAAATGATAAATTTCCAAAATTTTTTATATATATATTTTTTATATTTCTATGTTTATACAAATTACTTATTTGTCACACTTATTTTTTTTATATGATGAATATATGATAGTAGAGATGTGTCTGAATATTTTCTATAATGTTTTTGTATTATTTTTATACTTTTGTGTTTTTCTTGTGTTTTTTAATTTTTATTATTTAATTATGACATCAAAGATTGGCACATTCGACCCAAAAAGTTAAATTCATGACTCACTACCAAATAGGAAAATAACTTCATTTTTAGATTGGTTTTAAATTTGTATTTTATTTCCTTCATCAATAAAATCAATTATTCATTGTTACACTTATTTTCTTTAATATGGTTAATTAATATAAAATATTAGAGATATGCCCAAATGTTTTCTACATAGTTTATATATTTTTTGTGTTTCTATCATTTTTTAATTTTTATTATTTAATTATGACATCATGGGTTGACACATTTGACATCAAAGATTGAATTGTTGATCTACCATCAAATAGGAAAATAATTTCACTTGCGGGTTAGTTTTAAATTTTGTATTTTATTTCTATTATTAATAAAAGTTAAAAATAATTCTTGTTTATTGTGTTTAACTTTTCATATAATTAATATAGAATATTAGCGATGTATCCAAATGTTTTCTACAAAGTTTCTAGTTTTCTATATTTTTTGTATTTATATCTTTTTTAATATTTATTGTTTAGCTATGAAATCAAGGGTTGACACATGATCTGAAAGGTTAATAAGTGCCTAAATGTTTTTTACAATTTTTTGTATTATTACATAATGTTTTTTGCGTTTTGTGTATTTTTTTTTATATTTTTATTTAATTATGATATCAAGGGTTGAAACGTTTGAGTTAATAGATTTAATTGTTGACCTGCCACCACAAAAATATCTTTTATTTGTGGATAGATTTTAAATTTATATTTTATTCCAACATTAGTAAAAATAATTATTTATTGCACTTATTTTTCTTTAATATGATGAATACAAAAATTAAGGGATGTTCCCAATTTTCTATATTTTTTGTATTTATATCTTATGGCATCTTGAATTGATCCATTTGACCTAGATGTTGAATTATTGCTTACTCTCCACAAGGATGGAAGAAGAATAATTCCATTTTGGATCAATTCTAAAAAATATGTATGTTATATACTCATATTGCTAAAAGTATTGAATATAGATCGATCCAATTAATAGAATTAATGTATTGGTATTGGTGAATACAAATAGATATGGACCAAATTCAAGAATACAAGACATAATAATGAGAGAGGTTGAATAAGGAGAAAACTTGTAATTCAAATTATATTTTTGTCCTTACAATTAGATATGGACCAAATCAAAGATTTAGAGTATGCTAAACAAACAAAAGTTTCACTCTCTCATTCACACTTTTTTTTTTATAATAGTTTAGATATAGATTGTCCCTACTTCAATCTGACATTTCAATAAAGAGTTTGTACACAATAATGAAGCCAGCTGTTTTGTTAAATGTGTTGCAAGAGAGTCCCAATCTCCTCCCAACAAAAACTGTTCCAACATGATCCGTGTATGGTAAGATGTGCGTACACAGATCATATTGGAAGAGCGTTGGGACAGTTTTGGTTGGAAGGAGATCGATCGATCCCTACTCATTGCAAGAAGCATATAAAAGCTGTTTAGTGATCTAGATTGATAATTGCTTGCTAGGTTTGGATCCTTTTGTCACATATATACCTGCCTGACGAGGTTGCTTAATTTAATTCATCAGGTTTCAATCATTCTGGAAAGTTGCAATTAATAGACAAATATGGGCCCTGTTCGCCACTAAGCACACAAGGGAAGACGATTCCCAGGCTGCAGGAAATCTTCCTCCTAGATGAACTCCGAGTTCGCTCCATTCATTCCTTAATCAACAATCAGCAACATCCTCTTGGAGACTCCAAGGCTACAGTACTTCCTACCAAGTCTGGCGTCGCCCTTGGAACTGGGAATTACATTGTTAGCATCGGACTGGGCACACCGAAGCAAGATTTTATGGTGGCTATGGACACTGGTAGCGACCTCACTTGGATTCAATGCCAACCATGTCCAAATAGTCCAACCTGCTATGAACAATCGGGGCCCACCTTCGACCCTTCCAAGTCATCATCTTATTCCGGCATCACATGTGGTTCAGCCGAGTGCTCTCATGTCTACTCGGCCACATTCTACTCTCCTCCCTGCAACTCTGCTTGCATTTACGAAGCCCGTTATGGTGATCAATCCTTCTCTATCGGCCTCTTCGGACGAGAAACGCTCACGCTAACGCCCTCCGATGTCTTCCCTGGTTTTCAATTTGGGTGTGGTCAGAATAATAGTCTCAATGGTGCTGCAGTGGCGGGGCTTCTTGGTTTAGGGCGTACCCCAGTATCTCTGGTGTCTCAAACGGCAAGCACATACGGAAAAATTTTCTCTTATTGTCTCCCACGTTCAAAAAGCTCCATTGGGTACTTGGCTTTTGGTGACCAAACCAGTGCAACCTCCTCTTCTAACGTCAACTACACACAGTTGATACCAAATCCCGACGGTTACCCAAACTTCTATTACGTCTCATTAATAGGAATAAGTGTTGAGGGACAAAGATTGGCCATTGATCCTTCAGTGTTTACAACCCCTGGAACCATCATAGACTCTGGCACTGTTGTCACTCGCCTACCACCGTCGGCCTATGATGCCCTTCGGTCGGCCTTCCGGCAAGTAATGTCAGAGTCAAACTACCCGCTGGCGCCACCAATATCACCTTACGACACATGCTATGACTTGAGCGGTTACAACATAGACACAGTGAATGTACCTAGCATCGTCTTGCATTTTGATGGAGATACAGACCTCCAGGTGGACCCATTTTCAGGAGCTCTTGCTGTCCTAAGTGAATCTCAAGCTTGCTTGGCTTTTGCTGCAAACAGAGATGATAGCCAAATGGTCATCTTTGGCAACAGGCAACAACGGACATTTGAGGTGATTTATGATGTTCCTGGACAAAGGTTAGGATTTGCCGTTGGTACTTGCAACTAGCCAGTGACTGATAACTTGAGAG